AGTTGTAGCACTGTCGAGTCTCTCCCCTAGATCCAGTATTGCTAGAGGCTGCTAGTGCTGACTTCACCACCGGAAGTCCACCTGTCCCCGCCTGCAGTCGAATGCGAGTCTCCTCCTGGATCATAGCAGAGACAGCCTCCTCAAGCGTGGGAATTTTCGGCTGAGCTATCAGTAATGCAATTCGCTGAGCGAACTCTGATGTCAATCCCTTGAGAAACACCATAGTTCGCTCCTGTAGAAACACCTCCCGCTCTTTACATCCCGGGTCCTTACAGCTAGCTCGGGGGGAAAAATGATCATAGTCCAGCCACAGGCGTTCCAGCTCTGTAGCATATTCCTGTACAGTCCTCTCTCCTTGGACTGTGGCGTCGATCTCTCCTTTAATCTGGAACACCCTCAGGTTATTCCCCACCCCATCATATGTTCTCCTCAACTTCTCCCAAACGTCCTTCACCTTCTCAATGCCATCCACCGTGGCGGCGATCGTCGGGACCAACGAGTTGAGAAGCCAGATGTACACCAACATATAAGTGGACTTCCACTCATCTCGTCCTCCCGAGTCCTCATCCGGTTCTGTCTTCTCTCCGGTCAAGTAACCCTCCAGGTTCCTCCCTGCAAGGGTGTATCTCACCCGTCGTGACCAACTCAGGTAGGTACTCAGTCCATCAAGCTTCAGATCGATGGTCGGAAGCTCCAACTTCTTCGATGGTCTTGTCGCGCTTTCATCAGCCGACAACTTCATCAACTTCATCAAAGTTGACACCTCCGCAGGGTTCAACTTCTTGATGATCTCCTCCATCGAACAGGCTTCAGACCCACCACCCGTTCACCTTCGCTTCCGACCCTTGTTGTGTGTAGTGAAAATTTCGGCAACACCTCTGCTGCACAACAAGAGTAGGATCACAAACAAATTCTCGTTTCTCAGAGGAAACAAGAACAAAAAACAGTTATATATCTCATCGAAGTGAGATATATACTCTTCCTGTCATCAGTTCGAGGACTGAGTCGAGGGAATCCATGTCAAACTCGAGGTTCGACACGGTGCGGCAGGGGGTACGAGGTGGCAGCGGCTAGAGGGGGGGTTTGGAGGGGTTCGGGTGTGGTATGGAGGGGGTGGGGTGGGGTGGCGGGGGCTAGGGTTTGAAGAAGGCTCTGATACCAAGTTGAAATAGAAAACCTAATTCATTATGAGATCTCTTGGGCTTTATATAGGCCCCTACACAACTTACAAATAAGTCCCTAAGTAATACTAATATGTCAACAGCAATGGCGATACTTAAGCAGGGGTCGTCGTTGGCGTACGCAATCGGATTCGAAGGATTGTAGCATTATCAGAGGCGAATGGTGTCGGATCTCGATACTACGGCGGATACTGTTCATCCATGAACAATAACTTTTTTGACTTGTGATTGAGATCGGATAGCTAGGATTGAAAGTGGAGAAATTTTAGATAAATAGCTATGACTCACATCCAAAGGCTTCACACCCCAATAAAAGACAAATCACATGCCAAAGAACACCTCACATGCTCAAGTGAGAATTCTCAAACTCAAATTTTTTATTCATCAATGTCTATCACTCTTGGAGGATTATATTTCTTATTTATAGGAAAAGAAAGCAACTAAACACGTAAGGAAATAAATAAAAATCCTAATCAAATCAAACTAACAAAACTAAAAGATGCAATCAAATAAAATCCTAGCTAAATAGAAAGAGATTTTAAAATCAAATCCTAAAAAAGTCCTAACTTAAAAAAGATTACATGGGATCAAATCAAATATTACTAAAATTAAAATTAAAATCTTCTGATAGACGACCCATGATTGTCCCGCATCAGGTACCCTAGCTTATTTTCTGGTGGATTATAAGCTATAAAATTTGACCAAGTAAAAGACTATTATACCCTTTATGACTTCACAAAATCAAAGGCCTCATTTACTGACTCATCACCAACCCCATATTTATAAGCTATGAAATTTGACCAAGTAAAAGACTATTATACCCCTTATTATGACTTCACAAAATCAAAGGCCTCATTTACTGACTCATCACCAACCCCATATTTTTTGGTCATTTTGACAACAAGATGGATTATAATCCACCCATTTGCCAAACATTCTACTCTTGAAAATGGATTATAATCCACTGAATTTCCCAAACACTGAATTTGTGGATTATAATTCAAGTAAATTATAATCCAAAATTCCCAAACATGCTCTTAGATATGTAGATATGTCAAGACACATTTCGACCTTGGCACTTGTTTGGACAGTCCTTAGATATGTATCAGACGCATCCTATATAATACCTAGTAGGTCATGAGTGTCTTTCTCAAAATAAAGAAACTAAAGAAGCAATTGGTTTTGCTCCAAAACAAAGGAAGAATGACAATTAATGAATCACATGAGAACTCCGAGGTCAAATTAGTTTCCTTCTTACGTTAACTCAACAGAAGGCCTAAGTTCTACCCAAAGGCTGTAGACTTCTAAAAAGCTTTTTTGTAGTAAGCAATATTGAAGGAATTATAATTCTATAGAATGTGAAATGATACCAATTAGATTTTGATGTTTTTAAAATATAGAGCTCTGCCAAACACATGCATTTGCAAGAGGATTTTAGATTTTAAAGTAAGTTGTTATCAAATGCAATCTAAAGGTGAACATAGGAATTTTACTATTGTAACCGAAATCATCTTGAAAGTTAGCAAGTCATAATGGTGTTAGTTGAAGAAAAATTATAATGAATTTTTGTTGAAGTTGCATATTAGAAGAATGTTTTTTTGTATTGAAATCAGAAAAGCTTAGTACAATTGTCTAGAGGAGAGCAGAAAAGTGAATGATATTGCTCTTGTAACACTAAGGGGTAAAGGATCTTTGCAGTAAAAGAGTATATAGAACAGGCTTTCAACGTATGCTCCTCGACACTCCTTACTCTTATGCCATTCATAGATTGTTGAACAATATTTATTTGCAGACTTATAAGATCTGCCTGTGCCTTTTTCTCTCACAAATGATTGGAACTCAATATGGTATCAAGTCCTACTTCGAGTTTTATGAAAGATCAGAATTTATAAGATAATATAATATATTTCTATTGTCCTTTTGGCTATTAAGAAACCATGGAACTATAACATACAAAAATTAAAATGCATGTCAAGGTGTTAATAGATCTTAATCTCCTCTTTCATTGCACTCACTGAACTAGAAGGTTTTTCTCTCATAAGTAGCCCATAATCTTATGTGACAGAAATCCTCTTGAAGTGAAAGATGACTCTGGACTGGAGACTAGAAGCTCCACGAAGGGAGAAAGAAGTCTTGTGATGCACATAGATCATAATAATCACAAGGAGATGCTTTGTGCATCATGTGCTCGATTCATTGCTTCATTAATCTGCAGTTGCCTTGATGTATCGCTGGTTATTAATTGGACAATCTTACCACCCATTTATGTGGAAGATTCAAACTGGCTCATAAAGAAGGACGTGATGCTATCACCCGAGTTGAGATCACTTGATAGTCCTACAGTTCCCTTCTGAAGAAAGGGGGAGAAAACAAAAACAAAGAACATTTCAGAAATTTCCCTTAGATATAATTTGTTCTTTCTATATTTTCTGACTTTAAACCTTTAAGCATAATTTTTTTATTATGTCACATAAATGCATCTTTATTGTCTCTAATCTTTTGAATTGATCTTCATGAATCTATGTCTGTGTGGTTCCTTTTTCGTGCATGGTGCATTTTAACTTGAACGAGTTTATAATATGGTGAAAAAGTCCGTCAAAGTATTGGGTTCTGCATTTGCTAGTTTGTTAAATATATTGGATACAAGAAGTGAAATACATTTAGCTACACTATAGAAAGTTAGAGAATCAAGCTCTATACCTTTTGCAAAGTTGTTAAATTATACAATAGATTAAGGTTTTAGTATATGTGTTATCATTGTATGTTAATATACTGTTAGAAACTTGTGTTGGGACTTTTGGATGCACAGGCATGCATATGTATGTAAGCGTATTTGTTCATTATCGTGGAGGCACAATATCAGATGCAGCATAGTTTAAGGCTTGTTTGGCTACTCCTCGGAGGTTTGGCCCTAGTCTCATTTTGGGAGGAGAAGTGTTTGGCAAAAGCTGGACCAAGATTGGACCAACTTTTCCTAGGCCAATTTATGGCCTCTAAACTAGTTCTTTTGTAAATGAAACCCCCTGGGTTTACAAAAGAACTAGTTTAGAACAAAACTGGGCCAGATTGATCCTGGCCCAATTTGTAATGATTTCCATACACACTTTCTTTGGAATGGAACGACTACTTTCTATTTATTTTTTCCTTAAAAAATCCAATATTTGTCATCCCATGTTTCGAAATGTACCGTCATTAGCTATATCAATTGTTTCTGTTATTTAACCTGATGCACGATAAATAATAGACATGCAACCTCTTTGGGTTTTCCTTTTCATCTGTCCGTGATAATTAATAGACATGAACATTGTAATATATGTCATCTTACTTCAAAATGTTCAGGATTAGGCTTGATAGCATGGATGGAATTTTTTTTTAGTATCTACTAACTTCTGATGGATCAAACTCTAATATAATGGAATATTACATTTCACTTTTATCAGCCCACCTTGACCTTAAGGTCATTTGGTTAATGAAATATACTTTGCAGAAATCAGATTGTTTTATAAAACTTATATAACTGAATTCATGGATACGCTACCTTACACGGTACTGGAAGGGGAAAAAGAAAGAGGGACAAAATAACAAGAAAAATAAATTAGTAATTTTGCTATTATGATCATGATATACAATATATGTAGACTCTACTTCATTATAAGTTATTAACTAGCACAGATGTCTGCGAAGGAAAAGAGATACCTTACTTCATTGTCATACTCATGATTATAAGATGAGCAAGACTTGTCTACTTGTTGCCTGTCCTTCGCTAGTTGTTAATATA